CCCTCTCGACGGGTCCAACATGAACTTTTTCCAGTCATCTGCTGCCCCCTGCTCGAACCTCCAGACTCGGTAATCCTTGCTGTTGTCGAAAGCCATGTAACGGTCATCCCACTCGTTTGTTGTGAGGTGATGATACGACTTGTAACCCCATTCTTTCATCTTTTCGCTGGCATCCACGAGGGGCATGTTGTGAACGATGGGGATACCCAACCCGTGGTTCAGTCCCAGCAAACGCCAATCCGCCTTCGGGTTTAGTTCGAATTCGTTGCAAATACGTTCGTAGGCCTGTCTATCGTACTGGTTATTTACTGCGTTCCATGCTTTGTCCTGTGGGAGCGGGGCGCTCATCTCATTGAGGATACGTCTGATCAGGTAGTACACGTGGAACGTGAACACAGACTGACTCAGCGGTCCACGCCGAGTGTCGGTCAATGTCACACCACACCCCGTTGTAGCGCACCACACAGCGAAGTTGAGTTGATTCTGCCAGAACTGCATCGGATTCTTGAACCAAGCATGAACTACCTTGGCGTTAGTCACCGAAAACCTATACCGATCGAACACATCTATGAACTGGGCGTCGAAATACAGCCCATCAGCGACCACGATCTTGTGTGGGAAATCTATGTCCAGTTTAGGGTAAAACACTCCAGGGAGTACATTTTAAAAGTATTATATAATGAGTATATATACTCTAACATGTACATAACACTTCCAGGAATAACGAGCGGCGAGGCCGTTCAGCTGATACATGCGATCGATAACACGTCGGGTCAACTCGAAATCGCACTCTGCGATATCACCTACCTACCGCGATGGACTAACATCAACGTCAACAACAACAAGCTGTTCGTCAGTGGCACCCGCAATCAGATAACTGACGGCTACTACAGCGTGTGCTCGCTAAGCGACGAGGTCTTCAAACCCCTGGGAGCCGAACTCAAGATGAACGAGTCAAACGGCACAGTGGTGTTAATCAACAACGGAAGAAACTCCTTGAGGCTCGGTCGGCCATTGGCTAGGACACTAGGTATGCCACCGGACGAGATAAAACCCACAACTACCGTCACAGGCACGAAGTTACCCGACCTAGTACCGTACCGGTAGCTGTGCATTCACCTTGGCCAGCTGAGCACAACGGACAACATTCAAGGGGGTCACCCTTCCACGATACTGAGAGCCGTACCGGTGAAAACGGAGAAATACAACGATGGCAGAACAAAGTCGTTTTTCACCGCAGCAGTATAAGAGGTTAACTTCGGGGCAACATCCCTGAGCTGATAATATCGGTGTTAGATATAAATCATAATCCTGTGAATATAGGGTACCTCAGCATAACGCTGCACATAAAATGACCAGCGCACAAGGCCCCGGAATGAAGGTGAAAAAATGTGCCAATGCGGGGATCTCCGACCTCGGGGACATACGCGGATTCGACGACCCCGGAGTAGATGGTAAATTGTACGTCTTGCAACTGAAAACAACATTTACAAACGCGTTGAAGTCCCCTCCATCGGTGGTACTAGCAACCTAAGTGATATAGTAGATACCTCAAGAGCGGCCGTCAACACTCGGTACACCCTAGTCAACACCGGTGATGAATGGATAATATACCCATCGTTCGAGGGCAAACTGTTCGACTTAGACGATGTTTAGAGCAACGTGACGGCCATCACCAAAAATAAGCAGTATTCCCTCGTCTTAACCGACGACGACAAGTGGGTGTTGTTGCCCGCTAAAGTCGACTGGTTTCTCAACATTAGGCTCGGCTCCCCTCGTGTTCACGGAGAACAAAGACAACTACCTAAACAAAGTCGCGTGAACAACGGAACCCTGCTCGTGGCTTACGTCCGACGCAGAGACGTGAGTGTAATCATCAGTCCACTTGCCAGTATGGCAGCGCACATGCTATCTAGCAAGCCCGGGATGCAAAACGTGGTATTGCAGTTGGTGTCTGAATTCGAAGGCGTGGTCAACATCCTGGAGAGTCTACCAGTGAACTCAACGCTGGTCATCCAAGTCTACCTAGGGAACCATCGGCGGGATGATGTCGAAATCGTGAAGGGGATCAAACTCCAGTGGGGGAAACGACACCAGTATCACGTTTGCACTGTTTACGTGCGGGTGGGTGTCGACTCCAACACCAGTCTGCAGGGGGTCACCGTGACCGTGGAAGACACGATATCACTCACCAAGATCTTCCTACCCGACAACATACACTTCATGGGGGTGAAGTGCATTCCTGAGAAATTATCACAAAAACAATTGGAAACTATCTCGTAATAGTATTATAGCAATGACCAATCATCGGCCCAACGCCACGCTTAACGATCTAGGGGACACGGAGGGATTCGATCAGCCTGGTGAGGAAGACACCTTATACATCCTGCACTTGAAAGACAACGTGTATAGGCGGGTGTCGTTATCAGATTTTAAAGAGCCTGATTGGTTAGTCAACTTAACCCTCACCTCACCTTATATCTCCTTGAAACAAAATAATACTCCGAGATTAGGAACAACAGCATCATTCTAGGGTCATTCATTCTGGAATCTAGTGTACAAGTCATACGAATCCCAGGCCACTCGGGCAACATGTTAGCTTCCAGTGGGGAGGTGAAGATAGAGCTCAAATTACTCGATTACCAAGAGGATTTTAGAGATGTTGCGAAAAACTTCACACTCATCATAGACATCTATCTCGGAGAGCTAGGGGTTTGGCCCCTGAATTTTATTAAACTTTTAGATGATATTAGGTTACGTTGGAAAGACAGGCATGAAAACCAACGTTGTCGTATTATTAAGGTATCGGGAAACAGACCTTTAGCAAGCCTTGATGGAGTTTGTGTCCTAAATGGAAGTAGAGCTGAGACCACGAGTTTTTACACGCAAGTTAATCTAAGTATTATCAGCTTTAAGTACATTAATCGAAGGTTAAATGAAACCCAATTAAAATATCTTTTGTAATATATATTATAGGATGGGGCTATACCCAGTCGTAGAGGAAGTAGCGAAGACCCTGGAAACCGTAGACGGGTTCCGCTTGAGACAGTTATGTGATGTAAAACGCCAACTAGAACAAGACCGTGACACGCGGAAAGCACTATATAAGAAGTACCATAGAGCTTTCAATGCTGTGGACGGGACTGATACTGCCCTTATGGCGACCAGCATGGGACTAGGTGCGGCAGGTGTTGGGTTGTTAGCTACCATCTTGGCTGCACCTATAGTTCTAGGCATTGAAATAACAGCTGGGGTGGCAGGGGTGTTACGGTTGGTGCTTAAGTTTGCATCCCGCAGACTGCATCGTAAGGCATTGAAACACGATGAAATCAGGGTTCTGGCTGAAGCAAAGCTGAACACGGTAAGTGAGCGTATTTCCACGGCACTCACTGACAGTAAGATCTCAGAGGAGGAGTTTCGTTCAATCCTCTCTGAACTCACAAAATATAACAAAATGAAACAAGAGATTCGATCCAAGTCTCGTAAGTCTGCTATCAGCGAGGACGAGAAAAAAAAGTACATAGAACAGGGAGTACGAAAAGCCCAGCAAGCCTCTATTACGAACACCAAAGAGATCATAGGCGATTCACATTAAACTGTTTCATCGAGGCCAACGTGGCATAGCGGCACAGTAGTGCCAAGTGTGGGCGGGAAATTAACCGGGGGCTCAAAAGTAGTAGATATACTGGTGCGAGATCTAATGGCCTAACAAAAGCTTTATTTGTGAAATAAGGCTTTGCAGAGACTTTTGTTGGACTTGATCCCGTACCGCTATTCCCCCTACTACTGTGAACCATGTCACCAAGCATGACCCACAAATGTTAGTGATATCTTCTCACCATGATCAGTCATTATTTCCATCATGGGTTCGATGTCTTCAGTTCACTATGACTAACATGGCTTTAAATGTTTTCACAAAGTTGTAGACAATTTTAATAGTGAACACACTACTGATTGGACCCCGTTGACAACCATCTCATCAGTACCTACTTACGTTGTGTGTGTGTTTTAATTAGATATTCATGCTTTTTTTAATATTAATGCCACACGTTACAAAATGGTCAATTAAAATACATTTATTACTACAGTAGAACATGGATATAGCGAACACGGATATAGCGTACAAACGGATATAGCGAACACGGATATAGCGTACAAACGGATATAGCGAACACAGATATAGCGTACAAACGGATATAGCGAACAAATTTTAAAGTCCCATCAATAGTCCTTTATAATTTCATTAAAATTATACGCGAATAACGAACTCATGAGTAGCAAATTAACGGCTATAGCGAACTGATTTACTACCCCCAAGAACCCAATTAACGACGTGATTAGCGAACTCACTCAGTGTAAGCTCAGACACTTAGCGGTATACAACCTCGTCAATGATTGGCTGAAAACTCACCTGCCTGGCTATCTTGAAGAGTACAAGCCTGATAACATTTTCAATGCTGACGCCCTAATGAAGACGAGATTGTGATGTCAGTAGCCCAGCAGTTTGCCACGCCCACTGTCACAGTGAAGATGATGAACCTCGCCCGAAGCCATCCTTTGCTGAAGCCAATGCAGCATTAGAGACACTACGTCATCTACTTGTTTGTGAAGGTTCAGATAGTTCTACCTTCGACTCTCTTGCAGATGTCTGTGATGCAGTTGACAAAATGACGTCGGCAAGACGTGGTGTGCAGAGCAAAATTGTGGACTTTGTTAAACGCAGTTAAGCTATATATTGTTGTGATTGTTAAACATGTTCTAGCTAATGTCTGTGAATGATAAATTCAGAATTTTAATGTTATGTCAATGTACAAGAATAAAGATTTGTAGCCTCAGCATATACATGTCTCTACATGTCTACAATCCAAGATGGTGGTCAAATGTGAATAACGAACAACGAATATAGCGAACTAAATTTCTTGGTCCCTTGGAGTTCGTTATATCCATGTTCTACTGTATTTGAGACATCACAAGGTGATAATCGGTCCTTTGGTTCTCACCTGCTTTGTTTACTCTTTGTGAGGCATGGACGCATGAGCTGAAGTACATCCAAAAGTGGCCATTGTTGCAGGACATCAAACACTTCCTGCATGGGCGTGACACTGTGTAGCCAATCTCGTTGCCACTGCAGAAAACAGACAGACAGTGAGTGAACTGAACATGCTGAATACAATATCTTTATACTCTATCACAACTGTAGCATAGTATTATATTGAGCAGAAGATGTTGAGAAGATGTCGGAGTCCAACCTTGTGTAGTAGCAGTAGTAAACTGAAAGGTATAAACACATTGACTGTGTCACATTTGGATTAGGATATAGTTACTGTCCCTTAATAAAAGTCTTCATTCCAAAATGGAAAAATATTTAAAGGTCAAAAGCAATATGACACCCCACAGGAGGAAAATATAATTTATGTTATAGAATGTGTTGTTCAAGATCAAATAAACATACCATGTTTATTTTCATAATCAATGGCTAAGTAAACTAAATGGAAGGTTTCAGAGAAAGTGGACATATTTATTTGTGTGGATATGGAGAAGTTAAGATTTGTCTCAGTTTTAACAATTTACCATGTTTACAGGTGATAAATTAATCCATCAAGACAGAGGCAGTGTTCTTAAAGATTTCAACCAACTCTAACTCTGATTAACGATTAGGGAATGATGTATCTAATGAATGTATCAACATGAGCAAGTTTGGAGCTTCTTATTGATCCACATACATCAGGTATTTGGCCAACGACACTCTCATGATTTCACATTGCAATGACTATGACATTCTATTATTATGAGTTGACAATGTAACAGGGACTCATGAACTTTGCATGGAAATGAAAATAGGTTTTATGTAAAAAGCGTAAATTTTAACATTGTAGTTACTTTGTTTTTTTCCTGTTTGTCATGTAAGCACCTTTCAAATGTATATACTTACCAAGCAATGCATGCAAGGTGGTTGATTTTACAGGCACAGTGATTGGTTAATATTTCTCCTTCAACAAGATCCACAGCACTAAAAAAATGATAAACACATTTAAATAGTTGATTTTCATGCCATCACCATTAATCATATGACTGTGCACACTTCCTTGTGACAAACAAGGGAAGCAACAGAAGGCCAATCTGTCTTGTCTCACTAAAAACACATGCTGTACAAAAAAGTCATAGTTCTGCTTTTAAACCTTCAATAGTAGCAGAATCTGCTAAATTCATACAGTACCTGGCTAGCTATTCTTGAAGCGTTCGTAGCCCTACGAACTTATTATAAAGCTCATTCTTAACACACTGGCTACTATCAAAGTTACGAATTCTTAGGGCTACGAACGTTTCAAGAATAAGGGCCCAGGGCCATTTAATCATGTTCTATCAATCTAAAGAAATGTTTACAAAAGAGAATCTGTTTATATTCAAATAATTTTACAATGGGTGGTTCCCCAGATTTCTGGAGCAAAGCCCAGTAATGGAATGAAAGTTTTTAAAGAAGTCCCACGGACTCCAAACCATCACTGATAAAACTACCTTTCTGGCTTGTTATGAAAAATAGGTTTGAGCTTGTGTGTAAGTTTTGGGTAGAAGAAATTCTATATGTCTTTAGAATGAGTCAGTTTCAATAAGTTCACCCTTAAAATATCACTTCTCAAACAAGTGAGGTGGGCCACCATTTCTAAATGCAAGGACTTTTTCTGATTTACTTTCATTCCAGCTTCATAAAATATTTCAATGCTTTATCTTTTCTGTAATTGAATACAATTGTCATAGTCATCAGCAGGCCAGTTATTACTAAAGGCAGTTGTGACACCATAACCATTCAATACATCATAATGTAATCTGTACATAAATTATTGCCCATCATTATCAACTTTGGGAACTTAAAATGCAGCTTTGACAGGTGCCAACATTACCATGAACTATCTTTTGACTGGGTGTTAAAAAAACTTTGCAAAGGCTGAAAGTATATTAGCAGAGAACTGTGATGCCTTCCTTTACAGTCAAGACATGACCAAGCATCATGTATTGACAGTATAGGACCGCCTCGTGGCACTCAGCTAATATAATACATCTATTAATGGTTAGAAATGTTCCACATGGTTCAGGTATTGTTTTAAATAATTTATGAATGAACTGCAATTAATGTACATGGTGTAAATTTATGATCTATCATAGAGAGGTTTTCCCTTTAACCAACTAACTAAGGATATTTTATCCTCTCGCCAGGTTTTCAGCATTTTGTTCAAAATCAAAAGTCTATTTTGTTCAAGTAGTGATCGATATACCATATAATTATTAGGGTCATACCTATAATTTTCGACAGATTTATCCAAAGATAGCGGGGGAAATACCACTTTCATAGAAAGATTTCAACAATATCGTTAGAACTGGCACAACAATGTTTTTAAGATTTCAGAAACTTATCAATCTGGAGTTTATACCCAAAACCATATATTGGGTGAGTACCGAGCAACGAGAACAGACATAGATTTACAAAGACAGAGGCTTGGCAATAACATTTACGAATTTCGGCTCCCGAATTTCCGCTTATGGTTACTCGACAACACTGTTCCATCAGTTGTTACAAAATGCCAGACTGTATATGGAATTTAGGCTATTGTACTTACTCTTTTTCTGGAATGTCTGTCGAGTACATTTGTGTTTTAGTATCGGCAAGTAGGACAGCTTTCATTCCCCGACGACAAACATTGGTACCACAAAACATACAGTCGAGGAAGTACACATTTTTCTCCCGGAATGTTGGGTGCAACTCCGATTTGCTCATATTTCACTCTTTTACAACAAAAATATCTGCTCAAGAGCAATTAGCCTCAATCATGTAACTCACAACTGAACGCCGGCACTTCCTCATACAAGGCCACATGTGTTTGTGTATTTATTATCCAACCTTGGTTTTCATTGGTCAGTATGGCAGTGTATATTTATAACCGGTCCTTTCATTGGATGGTTTTGAGAGTTGCGATTCGTCCTAACAACCTTGTCGCTAAGAGGATATACTGGTTTCGTAGCAACATTATTGTGATCACTTGTGCTAAGGATCTCCATGGACTTTTACATAGTTGAAATTAGGGACTGTTCATTATCAAGGGATGGGGGTGGGTGTGGGTGGGTTAATGATGATTTTTATGGGGAAGCATGTACAATATGAATGACCCCCTCTCCCTAAAAAGTATGTACAAAGTAAGTGACCCCCTGCATGTCGTGTAGAAAATCCGTGACCCCCTCCCCCTCCCCATGTTTTAAAGCATAATTTTAAAATATTTTGAAATGACCTCCCCCCACGAACAAAATGGGTGCCCCCCGCTTAAAATCATCATCACCCCCCTTAGCCAGAAATTATGTACGGTCTCTTACATGAAGTGGGTTCGGTTGACAATTTAATAATGAACAAGATTGTACCTACACATGAATGACAGCCGCAATACTGTGTTGATGAAAGAAGTATATATACGCGGAGTATTTCAGTGCCACAGCTGGATATTCTCACCCACGAATGTATGCATGGCTACTCCAAGTACCAAATTAATACTGTAAATATTACCAAAGTAGATTTGGTGTATGAACGCACAAAACATGTTATCAGTTTTTTGTAAATGTCAACTATTTTCGCGATCCTTATCCAAGTTTTCAATCCCTCTACACATCTGCCTGTGAACCTACCAGGTATATTTATAGTGTCACCACCCATTATTTCCACGACCTGCTTCTGGATAACCAAACACACACAAAAAAAACCACAAAACAAAACAAAAACTGCAAAATACCCAACCAAAAATCAAAACAAAACATGACAAAACAGCAACAAAATCAGCACCAACAAAGAAACAACAAAACAATTTAGACTTATTTGAATCAGCCAACTATCAGTGGCATAACTTCCATAAGTGAGCGTATTTCCACGGCACTCACTGACATGACTTAGACTGTGACTATGAGGATGTCATCTTGTTGCATTTCCGTGGCAATAAGTTCCCAGATAGCATTCAGACGTTGGCCCAACGTTGGCAATGGTTTTGCCAACATTGCCGACGTTGGGCCAACGTCCGAATGCTATCTGGGTTAGGCTTCAACTGAATTTGGTGGTAGTGCTCCTTTCTGGAGCAGATCCTAAAAAACCTTTTATTTTGCCGTTGCGGGGGGATATTGATGACTTTGTCTTCTTTATATTATGCCAATGGACGTTTTACAGGTATTAACGCTGTAGTCACACCCTACAGTACATGTACCCTGAATACTCAAGGTAGGTGGCCAGATGGTGGAAGCATCAAGACATTCATACAAACACAAGTGTCCGAACGTGTGACGTCACCCGGGGCAAGTGACTTAGTGCAAATGTGCCGCTGGTTACCCATCAGGGAATGGGTACCCGGTATACCAACTTTAGAAAGAAAAAACAACTTGCAGATGTCTCTTGAGAATATAGGGGCGGTGGGGTAGCCTAGTGGTTAAAGCGTTGGCTCGTCACGCCGAAGACCCGGGTTCGATTCCCCACATGGGTACAATGTGTGAAACCCATTTCTGGTGTTCCCCGCCGTGGCATTGCTGGAATATTGCTAAAAACGGCGTTAAACCATACTCACTCACACACTCTTGAGAATATAATGCATATTTTATTCACATTATTCCTACATTTCATCTCATCTTCCAGCGACGAGAATAGATAAAACTTAGATCAAATATTTACATTTGTGTGATGAATCAATGGTAATAGACAATATAACAGGAACAATATACCTCATTACGTCCGAAATAACAAACTTTCATAAATACGAAAATATGGACACATTTTACCCTGTGTAAACACACACATCATTGTCACAAATAACAATCTGTTTAGTAATGTTCATGTGAAAATATTTAAGACATAACATTTAGCGTTGTATTTAAGTCAGTTTACAAACCCATGAAAAAGATCTACGATCGACTGATCAATAACGGAACTGAAACAGATGAACTTCAGATGCTTCTTTTGAAGTTCTTTTCAGAAACAATGAATGTTGGAGCGAAAGCAGTATACGAGAAAACAGACCGCTCTGATTGGTCAAAAGGATCAATGTTTTCATCTCGCACCTGTGCGCGTTTTCGCGTTCGACTCACGAGATTTTGGACTTTTAATTCCCATAATGCTCTGCGCGAGTAACGTTGAAGTGTTGAAGTGCGATCTGTCGGGATTATAAAATTGAGAGGACCTATTAATCCAGTTATTCTTGATGAGCTTGTATTCGGGGTTTCAATATGGCCTCCGAAAGAAAAGCCAAAAAAGAGAAGGAGATCGTCAGCGAGTTTGAAAGTCATATGCGAGGTAAGTAGCCCAGGGAAGCTGCAAACTGCATGCGCCCGGTGAAATCGACACTAAGGCTCCTGTCAAATGTCAATCATTCTTTGTGAGTTTCTCATCGCATAATTTTCCATACACCGACACGAAATACTGAGAGCCTATCAAAGTTAGACAATGTTTCATATATAGGTGCTTATGTTGAAAAAGTGGTGATATTGTAATGTTGTATTGATGGCATGTGTTCTCACGGGTCACAGACACACCTTTTTAGCCCCAGTGGATAACAACTTCCTCTTTGCAAGTAGTTTCATGGTGACGAGTCCCCAAAATGACAGTTGATGACAGAGGGGAACTGAAGCAAAGCGTCGCGCGCTCTAATTTGATTGAGAGAAATCCTATCTTCATCTTTTATAACAACATGAACAGTCCCGTTATGGATGTTAAAAGTACACTATTGATTGTAAAAGTTTTGTAACAATTTGTAATGTGGTCGGCTATTGAGACAAATGCATGGAACAACAGCTGATGTCGTTAGGATGCAAACACATTTACCGCTGAATCAAACAACTCTTCACTCGTTTCATATGTGTTTTACGTAAGTTTCACAGGAATACATTCTATGCATGTATCTGACGCCTCTTAAAGTCTGGAAACAAGAAAAAATGACATCCTTAACAAATTAGATTTTACCAGCAACACTATTAGGCTCCCAATATTATTATTCACAGGGGCTTGTATCACTGAAAATAGTACATCCTCGGTCCAACACTTGGTCACTGATAGCCATCTATATAACAATAATAATATTATCAGTAATATAAGCTCCTGTGATTATATTATCTATGCTGTATTACTTTATTTACTGATATTTTTGTTCTCAGCTCTAAATATTTACCAATTTCATAAATTGTAAGTAAAAAATTGATAAATTAACAGCTGTGAATGGTCAGTGACAAGCATGATTGCTGATAAGGGTGTACTTGTTTTGATAGGTGAGTAGTAATGCAAACAATCATTTGAGTTAATTGAAAGCAGGGCGAGCTGATGATTGCTGAAGATTTATGACCATTGTGTAATCTTAATGTGTATGACCCTTGAACTGTGATTACCCAGGTGAATATGTAACCTTTCACCTGCTGGCCACTGGTGCTTGAAGGTGTTATGATACTGTGCTCTGTTTACTTGTTCCTGGTTTATGGCTAAAGGTTGTGTAAACTGACTAGTGAAGCATTGCTACTATTGAAGAAGTAATCTGTAGATTGTAGCCTGTACCACATAAGCACTGTACTGGACTGAGAGCATACAGCAAGAAGCTGTGAATACAATGCTGGACTTGAAGCATGACAATTTTTGTATTTTAACAAAGCTAATGTATTCTCTAGTATGTACATTATATGCCCAACAAAATGCATTTTCAAAGCTGACAGCTTAGATAACGATTATAAACAGTTTGGAGCAAATTGTTTGGGGGATGATATGGCTGCTTTTATTCTGTATTGACTTTAATCTATGACCAGTTTAGTTACATATCCTTGCCAGTGAGTTTAAGGAGTTGATTTAGCAAAACTGATAACATCCTTTACCCTCTGTTACAGTTTTGTAAAGTGATAAATATTGTTGTTTTCTTTCCAACATTTAAACCAAGGGAGTTTGTTAAGTTATATCCATTTCATGTAAATAGTGAACTAAGTGTAAATCCAGGCCAACAAAGGTAACAATGAATTGATAAATGATTTTGTCAGTTGAATGCATAGTATTTGGTGAATTTCCTCCCATGTTTTCCTTGTCAGTGATACGTCATTAAATATCAACAATGCCAGAACACTGCTGGTTGAGTCAGGAAGTAGCATGCTGTGGCCTGTGTAGCACCAACAAGTGTAATACTCAATTGTAAGCTTATCTTTATCATGACTTGGTCAATTGTTATCAGTAGTCCAGGAGAGATCGATCAATAATTGGTTGACCGATCTGGAATGTCAAACCGATTATCAGTTTGCTGAAAGGTATAAGTGATATAGAATGCCAGGTGAAATAGAAAATAAGATCAGGGCTGAAATTTACTGAATAAATGGCCACTCAAAGGATCCACACAAAATTGTATTGATACATAAATATAGACAATTAACATATTTGAATTACTGTTAGAGGTCACACATGATGTCACTGACCTGCTTTAGTTTTCTGCCAGTGTTGCCTGTTTCTTCTTGAAACAATTAGATTTTTTATATGAATCCTTAACATGGTGTTTGGAACAAAATGGTTATTAGCTAAAAATGTTTCACAGTATCTTTTTCAAAGCAGTATGAGCCTAAAACTTCACAAACACAGAGATACACAAACCCAGGCAATATCAATGATCAGACTTCAACATGGGAAGAGAAATATACATGCTTCATAACACTGCATAACACAATGCAAATATCCTGTTTTGATTGACACTCAGGCTAAAGGATGTATAACTCATCGATTGGCTGGAAGTGGTGATTCCATAACATGATAAATATGCAAATTTCAAACAGAAAATGCTGATGAACAGTGCATGCAGTGATCAGCTGGCAATAGACGTGCAGAATGCTTGCCACATGCTTTGGTAAATTGAGCTTGTTTTGTTCATAATTACCCATGATGCTGAACTTTGTAGCCTTGGATCTATTTATAAATGTTATTTAGTTGATGAAACTGAATTTGAACCAAGCAACCCACTTCAAAACTATGCTAGCTAGAGCCCACTGGATCATAGTGTGTTGTTACCAACAGACTGGAACTATGCTAGCTAGAGCCCACTGGATCATATTGTGTTGTTACCAACAGACTGGAACTATGCTAGCTAGAGCCCACTGGATCATATTGTGTTGTTACCAACAGACTGGAACTATGCTAGCTAGAGCCCACTGGATCATATTGTGTTGTTACCAACAGACTGGAACTATGCTAGCTAGAGCCCACTGGATCATATTGTGTTGTTACCAACAGACTGGAACTATGCTAGCTAGAGCCCACTGGATCATAGTGTGTTGTTACCAACAGACCGGAACTATGCTAGCTAGAGCCCACTGGATCATAGTGTGTTGTTACCAACAGACCGGCACATTTCGTATAGAGAAAATAACGACTGGAAACTGATTGTTCGAGCTTAGTTGAATGTTGATTCTTTGAAAAGTTGCTTTTCCTTTATAGAAACATTCAACCCCTGTGAGATTCAGTTGGAATCTAGACTTAGTTCAGTTTGGGCTATATTACAGTAAGGGCTGGGTGAAAGGGAAGGTACTGTAGCTGAGACAGACTACATCAACCTGACAGGCCAGATAGACACATATAGTGACTACCTACTATCAGTTAGAATTGTATTCCAGGTGAATGTTGTCAGTGATGTTAATGGTGATTCTAAAACAGTTATGAAGATTGGTATACAGATATGAAATTGAAAAGAGGACTTAGTATAAAGAGCAGGGATTAGGCCTTAAAAGAAATTGTGGTTCCGATTACCCAACTGCCCCTTGAATTCTGGTGCAAGCCCTGTATTTTTTAAGAGGTATGAATAAAATAAGCTACTATTGTTATTTTTCCTTATCCTGACTCATGCTCTTTTTGCTTGTCTTCTTCTTCTTGCGAACATAGTGGAACACTTGTATCTCCCTAATTGAAGCTCCCTTCAATGTAAAATCACTAATTAGTACTCAGCACGAGTTACCTCCCTTCCACAAGCGCGGGAACGAGGGCGCCACCTCCACCCATGTGCCTCACTCTCTCCTTCTTCGCCCAGTGAGCTGGACGTGAGAGCACCTGTGTCTCCCGACACACTATATCCTTTGATTATATTTAGTTAGTTACCTCGTATAGACATCTATAGAGGTTTAGCTAGTATCCTTCAACAATTATATATTGATATTTAGTCGTGTTTCTACTGTTTATTCACGGGACGCCGTGTTTTGTTTCAGTGGATTACGCTGATAAAAATTCTGTTCTGTTGCAGATTACGCTTTTTATTCTGCTGCTGATCCGCATTTAATATGCCCTAGTTGTACTGCGCCATGTTCATTTTATTCACGCTTGCAGTTGCGTACTAATTTATCCATTTCTGCCTTTAATAAATAATTACTTTGCGCTTGAGACGCCGCAGCAGATAGGTCACGATGCAGAGTCTAGCCATGACTGATACACCTGAACCCTCGCCAGTCTACTGCTGTTGGTCGACCCCGCCCCCGCCTGGTGTTCCGCTTAGAGTGGTGGAGAGGCGTGGACGTAGTCCGCCTTCCAAGAAGCGCCCCTGCTTCCCCAGACATCCCATCGCCGCAGCCGAAGACTAGAGTTTTCTACTGCATCTCAACGCCACCTCTGAGGGGAAATCAACGGTCTACTTGAACTTTCTCAGCCGAGATTGTTCCCGCCGCAGATTTGGGCCTGTATGATGATCAGCCGATCATCATACCTGATGTACATCAAAAGAATGACCGATGTCGGCAACAGTGATGTCAGCGCAGATCAACATGCAGCCTGATGTACCAACGCTGATATTCTATGATCTTCCTGAGGGTCCCGTCGCTACCAACACTCAACGCAGACTTCGCACCCCCAGGGCAGCGTCGACCTCTGAGGGGAAATCAACGAAGTCTACTAGGACTTTCTCAACCGAGATTGTTCCAGCCGCTGAACTGGGCCTCTACGATGATCAGCTGATCATCATCCCCGACGACGCCACAAGAAGCTTTACCGGAGACAGCTACAGTGACATCAGCAGAGATCGCCATGCAGCCTGATGTCTCTACACTGACGCCAGACGACTTCCTGAGGGCACCGACTAATTGCCGCAGACCATCCCAGATGAACTGTTGCGGCAAATCATGATCATGATGGAGGGCCACCACAGACTGGGAAGCAGCCAGCCCAAGGCCCGAGCCTTCGCGAAGGTTCCAACGCAGACGACACCCCAGAGGCACCCCCATCAGCGTAGCAGCCACGACGAAGCCACCTTCGCGAAGGAAGTCGCAGACCACCTCCACGAAGGACCCAGATGTACAGCCTTC